GCGCATTTAAAATAAAAACAGGCCGACGTTAGTGTTACAAAGTCCATAAACAAATAGCACTCCACCTAGACCACAAAGCAGTCCAATTGCGAAGAACCTCGATTGAGTGTACTAGTCTTTCGCGACAACTAGACGACTTATTCGTTATTAACCTTGCCAAGCCGCATCCTTTTTGTTTGGTTTTTCTGACGCACTTGTTCTGTTCGAAAAAACACCAACGCAAAGGGCAGCCAAAGTCTTAGACATTCAAACAAAACCCCTAAGTTGTTATCATCAGTTACCAGATATAATTCTTGAAATGGCTACAGTCAAATTATATACACCAAAAAACTTAACTTACTGCATATTTTGAGAAGCTTGAATCTTAGAATTTTGCCGTCCCAGAACAGTCAAATAACTAAAATCTTATAAAATAAAGACGCAAAAATATCCAACACTCAAGATTTCTTGCCATCCCCATCGTCTCCTTCTACTAAAAGTATTCTGTTAATAGGGTTCACATTGTCACCGTCCCTCCATTAAAACCTTCAAAAGCGACGAAGCTATTTTCGACCTTTTATTTTTAAGGCGTATCGGACACCAGTGACATCGTCTTGAAAAAGATAAAATTTCTGGAAGAATTGCAATTATATAAAATCACCAATTAAAAAGTACTTTGGAAAGCAAACATAAAAATTCAACTGATAACATCAAACAACAGAATCTAAAGAACTTCAAGATTTATATACATATAATCCCAAATTTCATCCTCATCTGCTAAAATCACATTGAGCGATACGCAACAATCACAGTTACAGTAATTTACATTTACTAATCTGCGAAAAATTTCTAACACTGATAAATCAGGACAGCCTGGCAAAAAAAAAAAAAAAAGCAACCTGTTGAGGCAAAACGATAGTTAGTAGTGTACAGCGGTCTGAATAAAATGTCGCCTATTAAATTTGTGAGAAGAAATCAGTTACCTTAAAATCCTTTGCAAAACACAAGTCAAATAAACTCCCTTTTACTCTCAGAAGCAATATACAAAATGAAAATAAAAAAGGATAAAATCTTCTCCCCCTTACCTGTTCTACGCTGAAAGAGAAAAAAGCGTAAAAGTGATCATTTCTGATTAAATGACGCTTAATTAAGAAATTTGTTACTTATCAGGAGATGACGATGATGTACAGAACACCACTCTCAAGAACTGCTTTTTTCAGTGACAATTTTGACCGTAGAATAGGTAGTATTTCAAAACCGGTAATTTCCGTCCAGCAAAAAACTGCCAGAATCACATAAAAAACTTTCCAATATTAAATAAATTAGACTTCAAACTACAAAACATACCTGTTTATTTTTTCTAAGCTTCTCCGATGACTGTATACCCTCCAAGTGATGACTAGTAGCCAATAAAAAGCAGAAAAATTTCAAATCACCTATCTCATAAGCAGTAATAAAGAAGTTTACTGCATCTCACTTAAAGCATTAACTTCGGATGTCCATGTAAGTAACTTTTTTTAAAGTTACTTTAGTTTTTGAAATATAAAAGTGAATAAGACTATGACATGAAGCACTTATCCAAATGTACAACCCGTAAAATGAAAAAATTGAACGGTACCGAAAGAGAGATACAAATTCTTGTTAATTTATAAGTTCTTCGTGCCCTTGAGAGCGAAAAAACGCAAAAGTGAATCTACTGTCAATATCTTTGGTAATGCTCAAACTTAACATCAGGATTATAAAAGTCATACAGATGACAAGAATAAAAATATAAGGAGAACAAATGGACAGCAAAATGCAAAAAGTATTTTCGACTTCTAAATCTAAAGACAATGCATTTTACACCCTTAACTTCAGGTCCGACATGAATAAATTTGCCGTAATGAGAAAATTATTTTATCGGCAGATTAAAATTCTAAAATCAGATAAATGAAATTACAATATAAAATCTGTAGGCCATTATCCCAGTAAGCAATCAGGAGGTATGATCTGACAAGTATATTTTTCAACACCACTGCATTTCTAAAATTTAACTACGTTACTAATGTATCGATCTGTAAAAAAAGAATTACGCAGTGGCTTAATTCCGTATTTTGCATCACCGTACAGGAACCACGTTGGCCGACTTGCAACGACTGGATCTGCCCTTAAAAACTCCACTAGACAAAGTTAAAAGCTTTTATACTCACATATTCTCAATCATCAAAAGGAAAATTGTGAAACTTGGCTTAACGCTGAGTAACAGTTTTTCTTTAAACATTTCTTTCACTATTAACGCTCATCTTTAAAAAACAATCATAAACTCACCACTGGCAGCGAACTGCTAGTTTATTTAAAGCAGATTCCGCAGTTTTCCAACTAAATCGAACCAAAGAAGAGTAACCAAAAACTGAATCCACTGAAGACTTCAAAAACTTTTTTGTGTTGGGATCTATAACGAATGACCAATTTTATACAAAATTCATGAGACGTAAAAACGAAGAATCTGTTTAAACCTCCTGGATAACCAGATCCAAACCCATCTTCCGGCACTTTCACTCCTCCTTCCACAAAGACCCATTTTTTAAGCAGTTCATCACGAACCACCTGAGAAATTGATTCAATTTAAAAAAATAAAAAAATTCTGATTTCAAAATCAAAAGGTGGCTTACAGTACCTTTGCAACAATGGACGCCGCTCCAACTATAGCATAACGTGAGTCAGCTTTCTCCGACACAGTTATACATAAATTAGGAAATTCTTTCTGCAATTTAGTTTGATAAGTAGCTTTTGGCCCAACAGTGTCCACAAAAACCTAGAATTGGCAGAAATTAAATTCAACCGGTAAAGTATAAGAATAGAAAACCTCCAATTTAGCTACTTTTTTACACGATGCTCCACAATCCTGTATTAACAAAGTAGGCTGACGAAAATGACAAAAAGCCTACACATCAACAATTCTAGACGTATATATAGGTTATTCCACGTCAAATCGCACACATTTTTCTCTTCATATCTCAGATTTTCTTTAAATTTTGCTG